ACATAGCAGGCACACCCTATGCTGAGTCCAACCCTGATTTTCCTATATCAATAGACTTAGCGTCACAATGCTACTAGGGCTCAGGACAGTTTTGGCACTTCTTTTTAGGGAATATCTTCTGAGTTGGTTTATGAAGCATAGAAGAAAATCAGTATCTCCACTTCATTCACATCTTGATTTTCTCAGTTAAACTAAATATATTTGTACCCCTTCTTCAGATTTGTCTGCAAAATACTTTGTCAGTTTCCAAAAAAAGATGAAGCCCCCCCAAAAAGATGAAGATTAACTGCCAGTAAGATATTCCTAAATCTGTGCCACAAGCACTGAGTAAAGCCACCTACCTTTTAGTTTTATGGAGAGGTAAAAAGCTGATGTGCAGTGTTTATGGAAATGCATTGTTCATAAGACAGTCCTTTGCAGATTTAGGTGTAACTATTTTAACACTTAAAATGAATAATTGCATAAGCTAAACTCCAAGTACAGAGAAAAGAACATTTGTATTTGTTACTTTCTTATGTTGTGTTAAAAAAAAATAAACCAAAACAACAATTTCTTAGAGGCTGCAATACTTCCAAACTTTCCTTTTTAATACTTCATTATGGAAAATTTCAAATATATCCAAAAGTAGAGACAACAGTAAAATCAAGCCAATGTACTCATCACCCAGATTTAACCATTAACAATAGTCAATGTTATCTCATTTATATTCTCAGTCAGTCCCTGTTTCCCTGTCACAGAATTATATTAAAGCAAATCTCAGATGTCATTTCATCCCCTCCTTAAATAATTCAGTATGTATCTCTAAAAGATAAGGGATCTCATAAAAATATACCCACAATATCATTTCAAACCTAAGAAAAAATTAAACTTCCTTAATATCATCAAATATCCAGTCAGTGAAGGAATATACCCAAGTCTAAGAAAAGAAAGCCAAATGTCAAGGAAAATAGTGCCCTGAAAGATATAATACCCAACCCTGCAATAAAAAGGAAAACAGCATTGTCTCTATGCAGAGAGCTGGAGATCAGGGGCTTTCATTGGGAAATAAAATTTGTACCATGGACATATGAACTATTTTTTTCTTAGTTGATAGCATTCATCAGAATGTCAAGAAGCTTGAAGTGCCAAACATTTAAAGACTTTCTGCCTCTGTTTATGGTTATGTGTGCTTAGTGCCATCACCTCACATTGCCAGGAAGGATTAGTCAAGTCAGAAAACAAATCCACCTAAAATAACTTAGAGATCAAACTGAATTCAACTCAGCATGTACTGAGCATATACTAGACATGCATATACTAGACCCCATGCAAGACATGGGGTTAAATCTTGAGAAATCAAGGTAAATTTGACTTGGTTAATTAATAGTCTAGAAAGAGAAGGGCCAGATTATATTTATTATTAATAATAATTATAACAGGCCGGGTACGGTGGCTCACGCCTGTAATCCTAGCATAATCCTAGCACTCTGGGAGGCTGAGGTGGGAGGATCACTCAAGGTCAGGAGTTCGAGACCAGCATGAGCAACTGCAAGACCCCGTCTCTACTAAAAACAGAAAGAAATTAGCTGGCCAACTAAAAATCTATATAGAAAAAATTAGCCAGGCATAGTGGCACATGCCTGTAGTCCCAGCTCCTTGGGATGGCTGAGGCAGTAGGATCGCCTGAGCCCAGGAGTTTGAGGTTGCTGTGAGCTAGGCTGATGCCATGGCACTCTAGCCCCAGCAATAGAGCGAGACTCTGTCTCAAAAAATAATAATAATAATAATTATAACAGAATGTGATGAGAAAGGTGTTGTCTTTAGGTATTTTCATGGAAATCCACATGAAGAAGCAATGATGTCAATTTGGAGGGAAGGAAGAGAGGGATAGTTATGATCCATTCAGATAAGAGAGAATTAAAGGGTGCCAAAAATGTCACCAGCAACCATGTTGCATGTCAGTATCATCCAGTGCAAAGATCTGACTTATCTCCCTTGCTGAGAGACATAAATGAATGTGTTTACTAGTGTCTATACTCCCCTAACTGGATTGGGTGGGAGAGGTGAACATGAAAACTGAAGATAACAGGTTTTATTTAAAGTGTCTGGAATGTTGAGCAGTTAATCAGATCTGGGGAGGTGACTCAGTGAAGAGGGAAGGAAGGTCATTCCAGGAAGAGAGGAGCAGGAACAAAAGGGTGGAAATGACTGGCAGATTAGGGAACCAGCAGAATGGTGACCTTAGAGCCCAGTGAATGGGAGGAGCTGGCGGCCTGGAAATGCCTGCTGGAACCACAAGATGGACTGGAGCCTTCTAGGCCAGATCTAGACCTCTGTGCTGTGGCTGGTGCAGAACCATTCACAGGATGATGGATGCTCAATGCTTATTGAACGGAGAGTTTCTTGAATTAGCTGGGTGGAGAGAGGTGAGTGAGAAGCGGGCTACTCAGGAGCCCACTGCCAATAGATCTAGGGTGGGAGCGGTAGAAAAACAGATGAGAGGACACATATTTCAGACATTTCAGAAATCATTATTCTTAAAAAGGTGAAGAAAGAAACAGAAAAGAGCATCACACAAATTCTACTACTCAACAGTGTTTTAGTATTCTCCCATTTCTATAAAAAGTAGCAGAAATATACATATAAGCTATAAACAAAAAATATCTTAGGAGGGATATGAAAAATAGATATCATCAGTTGTGGGGCATGGAGAAAGGACTGGGGAAAGAGGTGGGAAGGAGACTGCATCTTTGGCATGCTGGACATGGATGTATTATCCATTAGCTAGTTAAAATATATAATTTCCCCCTTACTGCCAGGTACATAGGCAGAGAATAGGGAAAAGAGAAAATGTATTAGAGATAGATCGACTAGGTTCTGCCACTTCCTATCTGTCGGGCTGTGGGCAAATTAATTACTTCTCTTAGTTTCTGTCCTCTTCTTTGTAGAAATGGGGATAATATTGGCAAACAAACCTATGTGAATAGGTAACTATCTGGCACAGACTAAATATTCAATATATAGTAGCTATTTTATTATCAATAAAACTTCTTGATATGAATACATTTTAATATGCCCATTAGCTAATCTTATTCCTACATTTAATATTTACACTACACAAAACTATTAATGTAATCCATCCAATGAACACTATCCATTACATATCTGTTTTCTAGGAATTCAAACTGAATATTTGATTTATCTGTATTTATAGGTAGATTTTGGTTTTTCTTTGTCTTTAAATGTCATTGTCTCTAAATTTGCTGAAGTCACATATTCACAGGACTAAATACCAACCCAGAGTCATAAGGCAGCCCCCCCCCCAAAAAAAATATATATAAAGTTGCTATCCTTGAGGAACTTACAACCCCAGTGAGACAAACAGGTGTGACCTTCAAGTAACCATGGCCCAGATTTGGAACAAGAGATGGAAATACTAGCAATGAAGTACCCAATTCTGTCTATGCATCTGCTGGTAAGATGCTAAATCACATGTTCCTGGAGGTTACTCCTCAAGCATTTTTAGGTTTATGGGTTCTTTCTGCCTGATACTATGTTATAAATCAATTCTAACTGTGACAGTAACAGCATTACAAAAGACTGGTCACTCTCAAAAGCCTTACTACTTGTTAGAACAGCCACATCATTATTAAAGCATCAAACAAAAGTTTCTTTGTTATACATTGAGATAGATAATTTCAAACTGTTTTCATGTAAGATGTTCTCATATCAGTCCCAGCTTCTAAAACCGAAGCCTTGTGGGGGGAGGTGGGGGACAGCTGGAGTTTCGAAGAGATTTTTTGCTAAAGGCAGGAAATAATGATAAACATATTCCGTGGGATTTCAGAAGTGTTAGTGAATGCTTCCAGCAAAATGAAGGCATATGGCCAGAGGAAAATGCATTTCACTTTATATATGGCACTGTAGGAAGAAAGAGTGGTCCAGAGGATGCTTAACAAAAACCATCTACATAATTACTCAAATATTTCTCTTTGACACAGACGGATCTGGAGAGAAACATCAATACTAGTCTGGAGAGAAACAGCAGTAAACCGTAAACAACAGTATCTAAAGAAACTTTCGTGGATGCTGTACATGCTATAGATGTGCACCCTGGAGAAATGACTGACTTCATATTTTAGCAAGCAAGTCCTGTTTCTGAGCCACAGTAAGGTACATACTTCTTATCTACCCCCTGACCACGCATGGGCGTAGCTCCAGGTTACATATTACAGTTGAATGAAGATTGGATTAAGGGGCTAATCTAAGGCTATATATAGGCAGCAACGCCAATTTAATCTCTGCCTTCTCCATTCTCCACCCTCTTTACCCTCCACTGCCTATTTCCATAAATCTCAAGATGTGAGTTACAAAGAGACCCGAGAACTCTAGCAGAGCCAAGAGGCCCTTCCTTTCCCCCTCCCCCAGGCTGTCTCTCACAAACCAAGTATTAGTGCAAGTGTAAATTGTTTCCAAACATCCTCAACAGGCACCACAAGGCGACTAGGTCCGGTTTTCTTCTACAGCTTGCACGGAGGCCAAAGAAGAGATGACAAGTAGTGCGGAGGGCGAGGCTTGCCGAAAGAAAACTACCTTCTCGCCAGTCTATTCTCCCCGTGCGCTCACCTCGCTCGTCAAGGGGAGCTCTCTTTCCCAGCCCTGTCCCAGAGCCCCGGCCCCGGCCTCCCCGGGAGCCGCATCTGGAGGCGCCACGCGCGAGACCATGTGCACCCGCCACTTCCCACCGCGTGGCTGGCCCCCGCCCGCGCGCAGTCCCCGAGTCTCCCGGGGCGGCCAAACGCGGTGAGCCGGCGCTCTTCGTCTCGGGGCGCGGATGCGCCGCACGTGTGGGGAGGACGAGGCAGAGCCGGGGCTTCTCCGACCAGAGGCAGGAAGCCACCCCAGGAGGCACATGCTTCCTCCCCGCCAGCTCTGCCCCGGGTGGAAGCCCCCAGCGGGGCGGCGGTCGCGGCTCCCGCAACCCTCCCGGCAGCCCGCACCCCACCTGGGCTGCCTCTCACCTGTCAGAGGAGGTAGCGGCGACGCGCAAGGCTGGCGGCTGCGGCGGCTCGTGCAGCGGTAGCGGCGGCAGCGGCGGCGGCGGCGGCAGACAATGGAGGAGTGAAGGACAGACACATTGACATCGACACACGGAACCCGGCGCAGCCCCGCCTCCCGGCCCGCCCCCGCAGCCCAGCCCGCCCCCCGCCCGGACCGCGCCACCGGCGGGGACGCGGTGGGAGCGCGGCGACATCCGGGGGCCTCTGCGCTCCCCTAGAAGCCATTACCAATCACAGGACTGCCAGCTGGAAAGTTTTAAATGTTGCGAGTCTCCGAATATCTAAACCGGGCCAGACAGGGGAGGGGAGCATGTCGGAGGGATTTAATTCCAAATCCCCCTCTGGTTTTCTCCATTTGGTTGTTCCCTCCGAGGCTGCTCCAATTGGAGTCCCCCGCTGCCGCCTCCCGCAGCTCCTCCTCCCGGCCGGCCAATGCCAGGCGCGGGGCGGGGCCCGCGGCGGGGCCCGCAGCGCCCGCCCGGCTCGCCCGAGCTCGCCGCCGCCCGCCGGCCCGCGGAGGGAGAAGGGTGCAGCGCTTCCGCGCCGCCTGCTCGGGGTCCCGGCGTCCAGGGGCCTCACTGCGCCGACGCCCCCGACACAGACGCCTCGCTTCTTGTTTGACACTCCCAAAGCAGCAGGATAACCTTCAAGCTGGCGGGAGCAATGGTTCACATAAAGAAGGGCGAGCTGACCCAGGAGGAGAAGGAGCTGCTGGAAGTCATCGCGAAAGGTACGGGCGCTGGGCGGCGACCCGGGCGCGCCGGCCGGGCCGGGCCGGGGGCGTGGCGGAGCCGCGGGGCGCCCCTGGCCCGGGTGACCTTTGGCTGCGGTTCCGCGAGTGTGGACGGGGAGAAAGCGTTTCTCCTTAGGTCTGGGACCGGTTGCGGGGACAGGGAGGTGGGAGGGGGAAGCCCAGCTGGGACGAGGGAGGCAGTTGCAGAGGCTCGTCCTCTAAAACAGCTTTTGGAAACGTACAGGTTTCCACACCCCCCCCACCCCACCTCGGATGATAAGGCGCGTCCCCAGGGCGTGGGCCCCAGTCGTGCATTCCTCAAAACTCCTCAGGGGGTTTTGACCGCGGTGTGTCTCGGCGACGGTGGCCTGGTAGTGTCAGGGTCCCCGGCGGGTGTCTGAAGGGCCGTTTTGGCTTCCGGAGGCCTAGTGATCGGGATCCCTGGGCGGTCCCCGCCCCCGCCTGGCCTTGGAGGCAGCCCTTAGTGAGAGGGCTTCTTAATAAGGGCACAGAACTAGGTCTGTAATTTGCTGCATTGGGACTTCCGCACGCAGGGCCTCCCTGGCTTCCTTCCAGAAGCCCCGGTAGCCGCGGGGACCCGCAGAGAGGCGAGCAAATTCGCTGGGCGTCCACACCCGCCCCCAGGCCCACGTTGCGCCGCAGCGATCTCCCGATCGCGCTTCTCCGCTTTCTCTTCCACTCTCTCCCTTCGCGAGTCCCACTTCCGCTGCCCGGGTCACAGGAAGGGAGCCCGGGGACGAGCCAGAGGCCATGTTTCCCCCCGCAGTCCCCGGGTGGACGTCCCACAGGAGCTCCCTGGCGAGTGCCGTTACCTGGCAGGTGACATCTGCGTGACTGCATGCTTCCCCTGCGCCGTCACCGCGGCTCGGGCCTGGAGACGCGTGGGTCTGCGGGCACAATTAACGTAGCTGTTTTAAACTCTAGAAGAAGTAGCCACGTCTGCCTTCGGAGGGCGGAGAGGCCAGTCATTGCAGCACCGGGCTTCCCAGTTTGCAGTCTTCTAAGTGTAGCCAGACTCAAATCTGGGACTCCAGAGAATAAGACACATTTATTCATCAGAATGACAAGGAAAGTCTAAATGAAAAGGAGAAAAAAAAATCAGATTTGAACTCAACAGGTGCTGATGAGTTGAGCCCACCCTATCTAAGCTCAACCTTTTTAAGTCAATCACAGCTGTATTTATCAATAAGCGTTCCTTGCCCCGAATTGTGGAGCTTCAGATTGGTATTTTTATTGTCTGTACTGCATGATTCTTGCTAATCTGTTTGGCATTGCAGTCTTTCTGTTCTGCCTGTCTCTTGGGTAATTTCTCCCTGCCCTCCTTGGTGGCTCCAGGATTCTGTTAAGCAAACATGTGAGTCCCAGCTGTGTGCCAGGTACTGTGTTGGGCAAAAAAGGAGACAAAGGATTGACTTACAGTCCCTCAGGGACAAAAATTCTGATTTTAAACAGGCCAGAGTTATCACGTGTTCTCTTAAAAGTGAAAACCAATAAGGAGTTTCATAAACTGGGTCGCCAGAAGGGGATAGGAGCGTCCGTGGATGTATTCTCAGGTGTCCACCGGTTTTTATTCTGGAGATTATATAAAATAGGATTCATGTGCATTTATTCTGGTTAGAGCTGTATTTCTGGACCCACATCTTATATCAAGTTGCATGAATGCACAGATGCTATCTTTCATCTCTTCAATTGGCCCAGGCCAATGTGAAAAGAACTAATGGGGACTTAGTATATGATGCATTCTTGTCAAGTGAAGGGCTGTGGGACGTCACTGCACTCTCAAAGAAAAGTTATGGCAGATATGAGCAAACAGCCATAGCCAACATGTATTGACTGTTATTGTAATTGTAAGTAATTTACATATATTAATGCATTTAATCTTGATGAGCTAGGAATTATTTTTAAGCTATGATAGTATGAGAGCCAGCATGAGATGGTGGTTACCCTGGCAGGTCTGGCTTGGAATCCTACCTACCTCAATCATTTACTGAAGATGTGGCCTTGGGCAAGTTACTTTTCTTAAGTTTCAAGTTCTCTATGTGAAAAATGGAAACAGTAATAGTACCCATCTCACAATATTGTTGTGGTGATGAAATGAGTTAGTATGGTTAAAGCATTCGAAACACTACTAGTGTTAGCTGTCGTTATGATAAATATGGCGATCTACACTTTGTTGATTGGGAAACTGAGGAACGGGGAAGTTAGACAACCCAATAAGTGTCAAAGAGCTAATTGGCAGAGCTAAGGTAGCTTATGGCCTGTAGCCCAATAAATAGGCTGTACTTAAAACCAAAAAACAAAGTAAACACAAAAGTGAAATCAGCACCATAGCAGTCCATACCATATTCGCTTTGAGAGGCCATTTAATTTCAACAAAACATCATCTGTCAAGTTAGCTTAATTTTAAATGTTATTAATTTTTTAGTTTTGTGTACATTTAATTTGTAAAGTAAATTTTTATATTACAGTTGAATAAAGGTCACAAGCAAAGTAGCAAAGTTTTATACTTTTACCCATATGAAGCATTTTTGTCAAGCAGGTAGGTAAAGTTTTTTTTTTTTTTCATACATTTCTCAACGTTGAAAATCATTCGAGTAGACAGTTCTAGTACTTTGACTTAACAATAAATTTTCAGCAAAGTCTGACCTGTTGTCTTGGTCAGTCTGAAATAAACTCAGCAAATGTTTAAATGCCTCCTTATCTGCCAGTCACTCCCCTCTAGAAACTAGCAGACAGACTGTAAATGGAACTTAGAGTTCAGAGAAGAATGCCATGTATTACTCTTGGACACTTTTAGAACAATTTTGTTTTCTGAGTGAGTTTGCATGATAGATATTCTACAGATTGTATATTTGTTAGACTGCCAGGAAGTTCCAAATGAAAATGAAAAGCTGTTTCCAACATATCCATTTAAATCATAGTTAATGACAGCATTCATTTCATAACATTTAAGAGAAAATTGAAATCACTGAACCATATTTAACTGGTTTATATTATTTGTAGAGTGGCCCATTCTTCTAAGCTTTGATACTTTTTTTTATTAAGTACCAAGACAGCACTATTTCAAAATAAATTAAACCTTTTTAAAGGTATAAGCCAGAACATCTTCCCATTACTTCTCTTGTTTAGTACCTGAAATTCCTAGGATCACTGTTGCTGACTTAATAAGAAAGTAATATACTTTCTAATGCTTTTTTCATATTTGGGCAAAAGGAGCTATGAAATAGATTTGGACAATAAGATTTTTTGCTAGCAACTTTATTGGGTACAATTAAAGTACAATAAATAGCACATATTTAAAGTGTATACTTTTTATCAGTTTTAACTTAAGCATATATCCACAAAATCATCACTACAATCAAGGTAATAAATGGCTCCATCACCCCCAAAAAGGTCCTTATGCCTCTTTGTAATCTGTCACTCCCTCCACACCCGTCTCAAGGCAACCACAGATAGGTTTCTATTTCTATTGATTAGATTTCTCTATTCTCGAATTTTATATAAGTGGAATCATACAGTAAGTATTCTTTTCTTCACCTGTCTGTCTTCTTTCACTCAGCATTATGATTTTGAGGATCATTTGTGTCGTGTGTACTAATAGTTTGTTTCTTATTTTATTTCTATCGGACGTACCATTATTTGTTTATCCATTCACATTGATGGACATTTAAGTTGTTTCCATTTTTGAACTATTAAAATAAGATCTTGTTCTAAGGTCCTGTGCAGTTAATAATGTCACTGCTAGTGTCTTTTTTTTTTTTTTTAATAGAAAGATAGGGGTCTTGCTGTGTTGCCCAGGCTGGTCTCAAACTCTTGGCCTCAAGCAATCCTCCAGCCTCAGCCTCTCAAAGTGCTAGGATTACAGGCATGAGCCACTGTGTCCAACCTGCTAGTGTATTTATGGTTTAGAAAGATTCAAGTCTGATGATAATCAATTATAGTATAGAATTCAAAGAAAAATTTAACTTAAAAGATATGATTGTCATTAGCTATATGACTGGGCAGCTTATGCAACCTTAGTGGGCTTTGTTATCATCATTTACACAACAATAACTCTTTTAGATACTCTAAATTTATACAGAGCTTCATCATCCTAAGTTAAGGTCATTTTGTTGCAAAGTCCGAAAATAGATATAAGCAGGAAATCTTTTAGAAATATCACACAAATTCCCTATTTCAAAACACATGTTATAATAGAGGTCTCTACTATTTAGATATATTTATAGCTTTATATTTATGGTTATATTGAAATCTATATCATTTATTATTCTTTTAAAAATTAAGGCATTTAAAACATTTTTTACATGATTTTACTTATATATAAACATTATAGCAACTAACAAGTCAAAT